GAAAGAAAGAAAGAAAGAAAGAAAGAAAGAAAGAAAGAAAGAAAGAATTCTTTATTGGCCAAATGTGACTGGGCACACAAGGAATTTGTCTTGGTACAAATGCTCTCAGTGTACATAAAAGAAAAGATACATTCGTCAAGAATCATAAGGTACAACACGTAATAATAATCTGCCCTTTGAGGCTTGTTCAGCAAATCCTGGGTAGAAATTATGGCTGAATGTGATAAACCTAGCAGTATCTACAAAAAAAAACAAACCCTATCAATTTTACTTTACCTATGAATACCAAGATGCAGGAGCAGGATGATTAAGTGATTGCTATTTTGTAATCAAAGGGATAAGTTTTCCAGTGCTTTTATCTGATATGGAAACAATAATATTGTTTGATTTCAATTGAATCAAGTTAATCCTCAATTAATGGAGTCCAAAGTTCCTATCCTGTTTGACTTCTGCTATATTAAGGAGTCGTGCCTGATAGAGCACTCTGGTCAAAGACTGAAGCAACTTGAATTAAATACCAAAATGCAGGCTGATCAGGAATACAGAAACTAGTTGTCTGGAACAGTGTATATCCCTGTTGTTAATCTGGTATATTTTAGAGAGAAAACAAGTACTGGACACAGAGGACAGTATTTGTAAAAGAAATGTTTATTTACAATAACAAGTCTATAAGAAAAATAGAATGAGTCATCCATTTGTTGCAGAGTAACTGTGTTCCAACATTGTGGTCAAAAAGTATGCCTCATTTCTATTCTTTTGGGAAGGAGGAATTTATAAGAATAGGGATAAGATGAAGAATCACTGGGAGAGCTCTAGCCCATTGAATGCAGAATAACATCCCCATCAAAAAAAAGAAGCTGGAATTGAACAGGGTCAATTGACATGATTTAATGAAAAGCAGGGAAGAATTATTCTTTTCTGTGCTGAACAGGATTGCTCTATTCTATCCCCTTTTTTCTTCTTCTGCATGTCTCCTGTGTCTCTTAGCTAGCTGCTTCTTCGGCTGTACACATCTTTAAAAGTAGTCTTCACCCTGAAGATAGCATTCCACTGGGTTTATTTATTTTTCCTTTTTTTAAAATTATCTGCTTTGTAAGTTCTGCTTTTTCCTTTTTGCAGGAAGTTTAATAGAATTCAATAGCAAAAGTGAATATTATTGCAGAATACTAAATAAAAGGAAAGTGGGTATGGCTGGCTTTGCAAGCCTTGTTTTATGGGTTCTCTCGTCAGTACATGATGCTGAAGCAATGGAGAAAATGTGAATTGCTTGCCAGTCAGTCTGAAACATGGGAAAAGATGGACCGAAAGAGGAATTGTTGGGAGGTGGGGGGAAGAGAAGTTCTGTAGCATTCTTAAAAATCTATTCCAGGTACCAGCTCTACTTCCATAATTAAGAAAATGCAGAGAGAAGTCAGCTGATACAAAATAGAATTGTTTAGTTTCATCTTTTGCCCAGGCAAAATTAGGCTCTTTGGAAAATCAACCTTTGTACAATTTAGATGGTGTTGTGTTATAGCTCTATAGAAACAGTATATCAAGCATTAGATTAGTTTTGGATAGTCATTGGTGAGCCAATGATTCTGGCAGTTTGCTCTGTGATGATTGACATGTCCCAGAGACATGCTCATAGATTTTGGTGATTTTATTTACTTATTGATATGAATCACTATTTTTTCATCATGTGCAGTTGAATGCATGAACTGATCTGATGCTTAAAGTCTGATGTATGAAAGGTATTCACAAACATTTACCTGAACATGTAAGGAATTATTTCTACTGTTCATCCAAAGATGAACAGTACATTGATGGACCAAACTTAAAGCTTCTCTAGTTCTGCCTGAGCGAATCTTATTCTTTCAATTTCAAGATTTGGTATTAAGTCATAGCTTTTTTTGTTTGGTTTATAAACCAAACACATTCTGAACCCATTATAAGCAATTTAGAGATACAAACAGATCGCTAAAATGGAAAAATGGACTGTAAATATACTTTGAAGCACACTACTTAGGCTTTGCAATTCTATCCATAATCGTTTGGCCTTATACTGCATTTTCTAAACAATCATCAAAGCTCTCTATGTTATATTCCCACTACTATTCTCTTTAAAATACCTGAATTTTAAGTCCTAGAAATGATCAAACCAGTCAAAACAATAAAAAACCCAATCCTTCCTTTTCCCAACCCAGTTCACCCAGTTATAAAAGCAAAGCAATTTAAAAAAAATGTTTTTTTTGCTGTTCTGCAAGATAGACTTTAGCTTGTTAAACAAATCATGATGGGAAGCAGTGGAGGTATTCGACCGGTTCTGCCCGGTTCTGGAGAGCTAGTAGGAGCGATGAGCATCAGAGACCGAACCGGTTCTCTCTGCTGTTGGGCCCACCCACCCGCCTGGGCTCCCATACTCACCTTTATCCGCTGAATTTGAAGCGCAGCTGCTTTGCACAGCATAGAATAGTGCCATGCAGCAGCAGCCGCGGGATCGTGCAGGCTTGCAGGAGGCGAGTTAGAACGCCTCTGTGCCTGCACAAACACCTATGTGCCTGCGCAAAGTACGTGTTTGGTGTGTGCGTGCACGCAAAGTGTGTGCACACATGCAAAGCGCTCCCACCAAGCCACACCCACTGAACCGGTGGCAACAATATTTGAATCCCACCACTGATGGGAAGCAGATTAAAAGAGCATGCTGGAATATGCGTTGAAAATGACCATACCCGGGTTTTACTGCTTATTGCTTTCTCACTCAACAGATCAAAAGGAAAGGAGCTTATGGAGGAGTTGGGAGGTACGTAGGCATGTACACATATCAGCTAGTTCATCTGCTGAACATCTCTATGCTCATACAGCATATTATACAAATAGAAAGCTGGAGTGATATGCTACCTATTTGTCAGCTCTCAGTGACTACACAAATAGATTTTCTACAGGATAATCTGCCCCCAACGTGATCTTTCAGATCTTCCAAAGGTACACCTAGCATCGTTGCAACTGAGTCTCTCCACCTTGCCTTTGGCCATCCTCTTCTCCTTCTTTTCACCTTTCCCAACATTACAGATTACTGTGCAGACTTAGAGCTATGTCTTTGTAAATAATAATAATAAAAATTGGATGGTATATTTCCCCGGTCTAGTTTTTCTCCCAGATACATGAATTCTACTTTTTGAGTTCCCTATCAACATGACGATTGCTGAGAATTTTGGAAACTAAAATCTTATGTACTTGAAAAGACCTCTAAGTTAAGGAAGGCTGGCATATGAACAGATAATGCTTACGAATCAGGAGTATTGTAAAAAAAATTGCATTATTAGGTCCTCCTGAGCCGTCAGAGTTTCAAAGCCCAGAGAAGAGCTTCTGTACAACTCATTAATAGAGCCAGCTATCATGGGGAGTTTCACATTTAAAGATTGTGTGCTGCCTATCTCTTACAATTTCCCAATAACTGCCCCTAGGAAGTGATTGTCCACATTTTATTAGGTTCAAATTCCTGATCTGAGACTAGCAGTATAAAGATTTTGGAAACCTTGTGGATTGATCATTGAAATGCCCTCAGAAATTATGCAGGAGAATTTAAGTCCAGACTTTTTTAAAAATGGAATGTCTGCTCTTCCATGAATGCCTGAAGACAGAAAGTATGGAACAGGTCCTGGAGAACTGGCATTGATACAAATTGCTATATAGTTAGTCCTCGACTTATAGCAGTTCAGTTAGCATTTAAAGATATAACACTGAAAAAAAGTGACTTATGACCATTTTTCACACTTATGACCATTGCAGCATCCCCATGGTCACGTGATTTACATTTGAATGCTTGTCGAGTGACTCACATTTATGATGGGGTCACGTGATCCCCTTGGGCGACCTTCTGACAAGCAAAGTCACTGGGGAAACCAGACTCACTTAACAGCCTTGTTACTAATTTAATAACTGCAGTGATTCACTTAACAACTGTGGCAAGAAAGATCGTGAAATGGGACAAAATGTACGTAACAAAAGTCTCTCTTAGCAACATAAATTTTGGGCTCAGAAATTATGCAGGAGACTGAAATGGAAAGCTCTAGTTATGGTCCAGGGCTTGAAAAAGAAAAGTGAATATTGTGAAACGACATAATACTATTAATGGGGGGGAAAATGTTGGAGCATAACTCAGTTTGTTATAACAGCAGTATTTGTATCACCATACAGGTGCATAGCATAAATATGCCATAGTACAAAGAGAAATAAAAAATGAAAAATCATGTCCAAATGCAAAGTGTGAAGAATGATGCTTTATATGGGTATTACTGTATATTCTGACCTGGGTGTTTCTGCTTGATCTTGCAGGAGTTGTACTATGTTCAGGCAAGATACCCTTTGAGCAACACACCTTTTGAGACACAGAGCCGCAGCTATCCCAAAGTCCAGAAGTGAGAGACAGGACCTCTCTTTGGGCCAAAGGAAGAGAGCCACCTCAACAACCGGCTTCACATCCCTCTGGTTTGAGCTGAGTTTAGGTGATATCCACCTGTTGCCACTCTCATGAGCAGAATGGAATCTAAAGAAAGCACCCGAAGTGCAAACAAGACTGATACCAAGACTGCTAGCTCAGCAAAGTCTGAGAAACCTCATTCTGGGCCGGCGGCAAGTGCTGATAAGAAGGAAGCACCCAAGGAGCAGCCAACTCCTGCTGCCACCACCCCTGCAAAAAAGGGGGCCACAGCACCCAGTGAGGCAGCCATGCTGAATGACCATAGCAACCTGAAGCCTACCACAGTGCCAGCAGCCGAGGGGCCTGAGGCCACTGCCCATCCTGCCAACTCTGAGCATAAAGAGAACAGTGCGGAAGAGTTGCCAGGATGCAGCATGTTTGAGAACATCAAGCCCCTGCTCATCTTTGGGGGGGCAGCAGTAGCTGCCATAGCTGTGATCGTAGGAGTAGCCATCCTAGCTCGGAAAAAATAGGAAACCTAAGGAGTGCAGGGAACAGAATTTCCCCCGGGTTGTGTACTGTTCCTTTTGACATCAGTGCATGCAATCACTTCTATACATACTTATAAATATGCAGTATATAGCAAGAGAGAGAGATAGGTAGGTCTTGCTTAAGGTTAGTATGCCAGGGTCCTGAAAAAAAAAACAGATTTGTTTTCCTGGTCAATAGATGCTATTTTGTGTTTTCTTTCCATAACTCCTCCCCATCCTACTTTCTGGTCAGCTTTAAACTTGGTTCCAGCATCATTTTCAGAATCCTTTGCTTTTAGTTGGGCCATGGAAGAGCAGATGAAATAAACACTTTCTCTTCAAGAGGACCGTCTAGTATCCTGTATCCAGCTCACTGAAATACTTTCAAAGATGCATAAAATGGCAGCATCTTCACTAATCTGATGACCATGTGGTCCCATCTAGTATTCATCTACTTCAGTTCGTTGTCAAAGCATCAAAGCATAACTCTCACCTAAATTACAAAGTTCTCTTCGGAGTATGAGAAGCTGTCAGAGTTCAAGAAGCAAACTTAGCCGACTGAGATTACTAACTAAAGCCCAGAAGGCAACATCTTGGCTCACCATCTTATCACACAATGTCTACAAAGCATGGTACTAAATATAGTTTAGCTACTGATTGGAATAGCTTTGGAACATAGTAAAGTAGTCTTTGTCTACCATTTAAATGCATGTCAAATGCAACTCTGGCTGTAAATTGGCCAAGTACCCTTTGTAGAATTTAGATACATTTTTGAAAGTTTTTTTTTTAAAATCAGATATTGAAATCTATGTGATTTAAACTTTTGGAGAAAAGTTGATGAGCTCATCTGTGTGTATGGATTTTGAACAAATGCTGAAGCTTCTCCATATAAAGTTACATACCTGTTTGTGCTATGAAGGGGAGTCAAGAAAAACAACGAACCCCAAAAGAATAAGTGTGTATATTTTATTTCATCTGGAATATGGATTTAAGAAAATTTGCATATGGAATAACTGCCCAAGTGCAAGAATTTGAACCCAATGGAGGATCTTCATTTCAATATTGTATAGCTTTAATTCAAGATATACCAGAAGAATGATTTAGGTATCATGTATTTCATTGGAAATTATGCAAATCAATAACAAAAACGGACCCACAGGAGCTATTTTTTCCCCATAGATTTGAACTGGGATGCTGAAGATGAGAGGAAATTTCCTGTTTTGAAATAGCCTTGTTGTGTTAGTGGTCTTCTTGAAATGATTAAAACCAGATTTTTTGGGATGTGGGTGGGAAACAGTTATTTGTCTTTGATACATATACTAAAGATATTTCCACAACACAGAAAAAAATTGGACATTGGAGCATTGGTTATAATGTCAGGTGATTGAATGACTATCCCTTATTTAGGATTTTTTTTTTCCTGCTTGGACCATGCTAGTGTGAAACATTGCGTGTGTGTGTGTGTGTGTGTGTGTGTGTGTGTGTGTGTGTCTGTATTAATTATACAACACACCCATACCAATTCGATCAGATTTAGTAAAAGATTGATGTGTGTGTGTGTATCATGTTTTCATCTCATCATGTATAGAAACTAACCCATATACTAGATTTCTTTGTATTTGAGCCCCACTCACTTTAAAGTCACAAACTATCAATCCAGAAGTATAGTAAAATGAACGTAGTGTCTAGGCCAGTATTTCTCAATCTTGGCAATTTTAAGATGTGCGGCAACATGGTTGGAGGTGGGTGGGAATTATGGGAGATGAAGTCCATACATCTCAAGAGTTGCCGAAAGTGAGAAACGCTGATCTAAGCTACAATTAAATCATCTCTCTCTTGCATTTATGGCTGTGATCTTATAGGTTAGGTCTATAAGGGAATCATTCACTGGCAGTCATTGTTTAATATTGTGATATCCCACTGTTCTGAATAATTTTTCAGAACCTGCTCCCCATCTGAAAACCTGTATTCTTGTGTATATGTGTACAAGCTTTCCTAACCCTGCCTTATTTGAGAATATGTGTATATACATTATAATTTTTGTAAAGCTATAAAATCTGTATTCTTTGTAGAAAAGCAGAATGCAACCATTTATCTGCACACCTGCATTCACGCGAAGTGTCTGTGTTTGTGCCACTTGCATTCCATTGTACAGTAGCCAAAACCAAGATTTCCTTTCAATAAACAGAAATACATTTAGCTAATTGATGAATGTATAATAATCCGTCTTGTGCGTGTAAGGAACCCCTCTGATTGATGGACTGTTGTGCGTACAAAAGAACTTTCTCTGCTTGCTTCTTATACATGTTCCAAACTATTCTGGAGCAATTGATAACAGTCTGGAGCAGAAAGGAAGAATCCTGATGATGTAACTGTGGATCTGTGTGATAATAACATATGCAAGCTTATTTCTCTCTTGAGATTTAAGGTAAACCTAGTGGTGGTATATCATCTTTGCCCTTGCCCCAAATTAACCCTTAGGAAAATGATAGTGATGCAGAATAGGGCTAATTTGCTGCATGTATTAATGTATACTCCACAAATACATCTCCAGTCTATTCCACTGCAATAATAATCACAGCAAATGCTTCCTCATTTTTGCTTTGAATAGTGGGCATCTGGAAAAAGTGTTCATTTATGTAGACCAAGCTTAGTGAACTTGTGCTTTATAGAAATGTGCAACTTGCAGTAGAAAGGCTAATTATGACTCGATTTGGTAAGCAATGTCATGTAAGCTTTTGAATGTGTGTCAACATTTATGTTTGTTTCTTTTAAAGGTGGAACAAATCAGCCTGCATTGCATCCTGATTTGTGCAACCCCTCATATGTCCTGTCTCCTTACTAGTGGCTTTTGGTTGCTGCTTATTGGCACCAGGGAAATTGCTGCTAAGTTTGACAGGACAATACTAATATTGGCTATGTTTCGTACAACAATCCTATGTAAGCATTTCTCTAGTTCTAAGGCTGTTGATACACTTCTATTATAATTAGTGATAAAGTAACAAAACACTTCCTTCAGAAAGCTAATCATCTTCAGCTGGGATCCTTGTACGTATTGAGTGAATTCTGACTTCTATTGGTTTTTTATGGATCTCCCCCACCCTCCTCCAAATTTCAATATTTGCCATACTGCTACAGGCAAAATTGTATTGTTTCTGTTTATTGTTGCAGATCAGCTGGATTATTATACAACTCATCAACTAACTGGTTTTATACTTGGTATTTTTACCCTTTCCCTACCCCTCCAAGTTTACATACCAGCCCTCCTCCATTGTTTAGATAGAGAATGAATGGATCAAGGCAATTCTGTGACAGTGCAATCCTCAGAAAGTACATTCTAGAGGAAATTGCATTGACTTTTAAGTTCTTTTTACAAAATAAGAGAGTACAGCCTTTTCTGTGAGTAAGAAAGGGTCAACTAATATTAAATGTCTGCTCCAACTGGGTACTTCCTATATCAAATGGCATATATGAGTATAAACGCAGCTAGAGCTAATGTTAAGACACGAGGATGTGAAAAATAATTGGACACTTCTTAGTTATAGATAGTTTTGTTGCTAATATTGGAACTGTTATCCTTGCCCCATGTTTAATTTTAATGTAATGGAATTGGGGAAACTGACCTTGAGACAGTCTTTGAACACTGAGAAGACATGGTAGCTCCAGCAAATTCATTAGCAAACTGCTATAATAGCAAAATGTGTTACGATGCAGTAATTTCATGATGTCACAATATCTGATGCAACTAGCTCAGGGGTGTCAAACACGTCATCACAGCTTTGTCATGTAATGTATCATGACTTTTTCCCCCTTTGCATGGCCATGGCCAGTGTATGATGCATCCAGCCCGCGGGCTGTAAATTTGATAGCCCTGAAGTAGTTAAGTCACAGCCTTTGTATGTGTTTGATGATGTCATGATACATCTGTCATTCTCAACCCAATCTACCCTGTGGATGTCCATGTATAACCTGCTAGCAAAGGTATACACATTTAATGTAAGTCTATCATGTATTATCAAAAAATCCACATCCAGTAGGCCAAACTTTCTATATGTGCTTATTTGTGGGGAATATATCAGTTCTCATTTTTATGGAGATTATACAAAAGTTTTCATTCTGCGTATAAATCTGGAAAGACAGTTCCATCACATTCCTTCTTTGCAGAGCTTCTTAGTACAAAATATTAAGACACAGTAGCAATCTCAATTTGGCCATAAACTTGTATCACTAGAGTCAGGAAGATCAGGCCTTTATCAACCTTGTACAGGACATTCAAGAGGGTTACTTTATTAAACATACTGGAACTTATGCATGAATTGAGTATTCAAGGTGACGCAGCTATAATTGCAGCGATGCTTCAACTATATCAGTAATTCATTCCTGCTGATACTTGAAGTCATTGTGTAAGGTTTTTCCCAACATAATATTTTGCTTTTTTACCTGAAAGAAAGACTCGGATTTTACTATTTAATACTAAAAATGAGTTAGAGGAAGCTACACTACATTCTTGACTAGTTTTAAGTATTGCCCCTGTAAAGTTTACAGAAATGGTTGGTGTTTCTTTCTTTAGTGACTAAAATGTGAAAAAAGAAAGAGGGAAAAGTAGTAAAAGGATAAGAAACTCCTTCTCACCCCCAAAAGCCATTTTTGTTGTATCTGGATGGTTGTTTTAGATGTGTTGGGACAATAAAATGTAATGATAAGAACTAGCATCTAAAAATTAAAAGTGTTTTAGTTTAGACAAATATATAGTATGTACAAGTGTGCAAATGTTAAGACTATACTTCTACCCAAAATGTTTTGGCTCTGTCTATCTTCCATTCTTCTTATAGCACTCCTTCCCCCCCCGCCCCCCCGAACCATCTATTAAGATGCCCAGGGTACAAGGCCCACTTCATCTTCTCCACAACACAGAACCTCCCACACACTGCCAAACAGTTTCCATTTCAGTCTGACTCCAATGTCATTTTAAATTATGACTGAATTGTAATCTAGGATGAATGAGGAAAAAAGCATTGGTTGATGTAATCACTTAATATTTCTTGTTTCTTAATATAAACATGGCCCAAAGCATCTGGGATATAAAAGATAGTTCTGTTATAATTTTCTGTTTCAATCTCCCATGCCTTGATTATAAGCTAGCAGCGACAGTTCCATCATTATAACTTGTGCAGAATT